GAGGTTGGAAAAACGAAGCATTGAGAGGAACAAATGTGATGAAAATCAGGATATTGCACGAGTTTGGTCAATACCTGTACATACATACATACATACATACATACATACATACATACATACATACATATAGACATTATCTATGAACTCCGAAAGTATGAAACCACATTCAGACTGTGAGCAATACAATGATAGTCAATACTACTTTTTCGTCTGTCCCAACAAATACGTAACCCTCAGAGTCCGTCAGTGTCGTAAGCTTGTCAAGTTTTCTCAGCTCTCTCTCTCTTTCCGAGATTTCGTCACACAGACAGAGCATACAACTGAATGCCACATACCCACAGAGAGAGAGGGAGACACGTATTTGACAGAGCACCTGGTCACGTTTGATCAGTCAGCGTTCCCAACGCCTATCCGCGCATTGTATTGTGAGGTTGATTCTAGCCATCTCTGTCTCTCAATTCACCCCCAAACGCGACATTATTTTGCTTATGAAATGCCGGAAAAGTTTGGAGTCCGACTGGGATGTCATTATTGATCTTTCGTGTTAACCATTGACGTGATGGAAACCGTCAGCGGTTCTGTCACTCAGACTTTGTCGTGGCTGTAATTTGTGTCCTACTACTCTCAAAACGGAGCGTTCTGAAATTCTAGATTAATAACCGAGAGAGAGAAAATAGCGGGTCTGTGAACTGTAATTAGGTCAATGATTGATCATTCTATACGATATCATCATCCCATCAGCTTATAATTGCTTTTAACGTGAGATTAATCGATTAAACGACTTAAAAAAGGCTCTCCAAACATTGTCACTAACGCCTTGTGTTTTGGGTTTTCATTCATCGTGGCTAAGATAAGCTGATATCCTCGATTGGTCATTCGGTTTTTTCTGAGAAGAAACATCATTTCAGTTTCACATTGCACAGGTTTATTTAAAAATTGTTGCTCATCTCATGTTAAGTTGCACTGTATCGAATGTTTACTATGTTGAGAAAGCACTGAAAATCGGTTCTCGTAGCTCAGCTACTTCAAAACTTGAAGAGAAATACAGTGTCAATCATTAGATACACTCAAACAAACTCCATTATCCTCAGTTGATGTCCCACATACTATGTTCATCCCAGAGAGGGGAAGATACCAAAGACTGTAGCTAATGGAAATTCTTTCGAAATGTTTTATCAGCCTCTCGATAGACCGTCGAAAAAAAATACGTTTTTTCACTAGTTTCTGTGTACCAGTGACCCACTATTTGTCATGTCTACTGAAACCATGTTTGTACTGTGCAGTGAATTGAGCTTCAATCTATCTTCGCTTGTTCCCCGAGCTTGGCAATTTGTTTGCAAACGTTTCTGCATCACCAGCCGAGGCCAAATGCATCAGTTGGTGTAAGGTGGTCACTTCACACCAACTGACGATGTCGCCTCGGCTGATGATGAAATGTTTACANAGCTCGGCGAACAGACGAAACGGTTGCTATGTATGACTATGAATCAGCTCACACATTACTCCCATGAGCCAAGCCGTTGAGAATGGAATGTTACTAACCGAGTCATTACCCGAGGTGTTACCTGAAGGCTGGTTCAATGTTGAACGAGGAACGATGTTAGCAACAAGCTTGCGAAATTAGCATGTACCAAATCTGGTATGGAAAAAATAAAACATAATTTGATCAGCTGCCTGGCGGTCAATTGGGTAGTATCATTGTCTTCTACCTGTGAGTTGCTGGGTTCGATCCTTCATCGGTTCCATGGATTCGAACTGCTGTTATGACCCAACTAGATCTACATAGTTTTTTCCACTTCACGTATCGATTGTTATATATACGAAGACGGTCACCATGTAATATCATATCCTTTAAAATGACATTTCTTTGTCTTTTACATGACATTTTACTGCAAGTGCATACCTTGAAATCACCATGGTAGCTAACATTTTAAATAGTGTGAGCCCATATATACCAATCAGAGGTCTGTCACGTGATAAACAGCAAAGGGAAAGTGATGTCATTGGGGGTACGAACACACGACCTTCGGATTGATAGGTTGATAATGCTAATGGTTTAACCTTTGCCGCTGCCGACAGTATCCTAGTCGTTGAGAAGTACGAGTCGTCAAGTCCCTCATATCAGGAACATACAACTGTGCTTTTATGAGAGGAATAGAGGATTTTATATGATTAGATGATTGATTCATCGTGTAAATGAGGTGTGAACTGAAGCGCTAGGAAGTACTGGATAGCTGTTTCGACTTGGAGCGAATCCATCGACCCAACTGGCGATTGCGAACCCCGGACCTCAGAGGCAGTAATCAAGCATACCATCAAATTGGCCACGGGGCAGCTGATCAGACCGTTTCTGAATTTGAATATACACGATATAGTAAAACCCATCTTTGCGAGCTTATTGCGTGCAACAGACTTTCCAATGGAGTCATAGCCACGGGACTAGTGCTGAGATGAGCAAGGTGCGATGCCAGCATGAAGCTCGCATAGATGAGTTGTGATATACCGTGTAAATGGAAAATAAAAAACGGTCTGATCACTTACCTGGTTGCCGAGTGGGTGGTATGCTCGCGTTCTGCCTGTGAGGTCCGGGATTCGCGATCCCCAGTTGGGTCGATGGATTCGCACTGCGGATGAGACCCAACCAAGTCAAAACAGCTGTCCACTGCTTCCTAGCTTTTCCGTTGATACCACATTCACAAAACGAATTAATCATCTAAGCAAATTGTGGTTTGCTTTAAGTTGCTTGTCTTCATGCCTAAGCAGTATTACGTGGTGCTAAAATTGTGACCTTGGTTTCTCTTTGAGGGATAAGATGGCTAATCGGCTAAGATGACAGTGTTATCTGATTGGTCAGAATCGCTTGTTGCTGGCCAATTCCGTGTTTACATGAGACTAATTTTAGACGCATAACGGTGAACTGTCAAAACGCTGACGGAAAATTTAAACAAAAAGGGTTTTATTGATCTGTAATTCGATTGATCACGTTCTTCGACGCGGAATCCTCAGCTAACTAGGCTGATGGAAGACTGATCGAAACAAATAGAAACGTTAAATAATTTGCCATTGTAACAGGCCACTTTCTTTTGCATTGTTTTCGCTGGAGGTTAGATGAATCAAGAATGAAACTGCTTATTATTCACTTTCAGTTGACACATCCTGCATAGGATTCCGAAGGTACAATAAAGACACCAGGAAATCCGATTTGATCCCACCGCCCCCCCCCGGCCTCACCCACTTCGTCGCAATTAAAATACAAATACGATTGAAAATGTGCTCAGATAATCAATCATACGGCACTCACAATAGACGATTCGTCGATGGAAGAACTGTTACAGCCTATTGTGTTATTCTACTGTATCACACAGCAATCGATTATCGTGACTTCCCGGAGCATGCACAACTTTACTTCGGACATCTCGTGAAATATCTAAGTAAGCACACTGTGACTGGAGCCCAGTGGTAATGCTCACTGAATTGTCTGTCCGGAGGACGTGTGTTTGAATCCCACCATCACCACCACCACTACCACCACCGCC